AAAGCAGGATGAGAAGAGTGGTACCTGGTAAATGAGTCAGGATGTGCTGCAGTCTCCTCGCAGTGCCTTGCATATGGTAAAGCCTCAGTAAATATGGGTTCTTCTTCCTCTCATCCTTTTTCCTTCCCCACCTCCTCTTCTTTTTTCTTCGTCTTCTGCATTTGGAACATACATTGGTAGAATTTCTATAGCAACTACAGCAATAATTACCTTTGGAAGTATTTATATCCAGGCATAGAAGCTAAACTCCACCAAAGAAAGTAAAAGTAATAAGAACTACTATAAATGGATTATATACTATATATCTGGTACATTATATTTTAACCTCTAATCCTGACAATAACTTTATCAGATAAGCATTGCCAGCCCCATTTTTAGAATGAAGATGAAGACACTGAGGATGAGAGAGATTAAATCATGCATTAAAGCTTTTAAAGTCAGTAAGTGGCAGAGCTCTAGATTTCTAATGCAAGCTTGTCACACTCAGGTAAAGCAATCTACTTTGCAAGCTGTCTTTAAATGTTTTGTGACAAAGTTAATCTCAAGGTATTCCCAATAGAGGTTTATTCATTTGATAGGGCATTCTTATCATTACCCTATATCTAGCAGCAAATAGAAAAATAATAAATAAGGTAGGGGAGAGAAGGTCACGTTCTTCAGAAGGGGGATCAATATTTTGCAACTCAGGGTAATTTTGCCTTTTGAGAATCAATACATTTCTCAGCACTCGTTTATTGCCAACCTGTGTCAACATAAAAAATATCTTCCAAAAGTATAGGTAGGCAGCCTGGATGTCAAACTCTTCCCCAGGTGATGAAGTTGGCCCTCCTGAAACTTCTGGACTGAGGGCAGCATAGGCTCTGGGGCTGGGGCGGACGCATGGGTCACTGGGCTGGGCTGGGCAGAAGCAGGATGAAGCCAGACCGTGATGCATGCATGGTCTTATTTATAGCAGAATCCAAAGGTGGAGATTGGTGAGGCTTTATGGGTCATCACACATGAACAGAAGTGGGGCAGGCTGAGGAGAGGGTGTGGAGGTGAAAAGCAGGATTAGACGAGAAAAGAGACTTCACAATTTTCAGAGAACCAAGAGCTAGGATCTCTCACACTGGGTGTCACCTACATTAAGGAGTGCCCGGTGGAGGCGCAGGGTGAGGGTGAGTGTGGATTTCCAGCTCTGCTCTAAAAAACTCCAAGGGTTTGAGAACCAAAGTTGTCTGCCCTCACACGCAGCCTGAGCACAGAGATCAGAAACCACACTTTCTTGTCTACGTTACCTTGGCTTTGCTCTTCTAATTTTGGATGACCTCTTATGGCATAAACTTCTGTTCCTAAAATTAATTTATTACATTACTTTTCTGGAATTGTCCTGCCCACACAAATGATGGATTGTGCATTTCAGAAACTCCCCAGAAGACCCGTGACTCTTCAATGAAAAGCAGCAACAGGTAGTTTGCACCTGAAAATTCTCTGAATCTTTTACCTCGAAGTCTTCACTGCAATTTCCACCCATCCTGGACTGTAGTATCATCTGAGTCATACCTCAAACAGGGAAGGTTTGCTCATGTATATTGAGTTTCCATGTCGTACCTGATTAGAAGAAATGTTTCAGCTGATGATAATAAAAAAATTGAAAAACACTATTGCATTCAAAAGAAAAGTGCCATTTGAATTGTTCTATCTGAGTTTGGTATATTTCTCCTTCATTATCCATATAGTTTTGAGGAAATCTCAGCCTCACAGAGGCCCTGTCCCTTTCTCTATGTAATGGGAGTGTTTAACCAGAAATCCTCTAAGGTATCATCCATCTTTAACAGTCTCTGGTTCTGAAATCTCCTGGCATTGATGTCGTCTGTCAAGATGACCTCTTATGGCATAAACTTCTGTTCCTAAAATGCTAATTTTCCTCACAGCATCTAACAGAATGCTGGGCACAGACCCGTCGCTCAATAGCCAGCTGTTGGTAGTTTGTACAATTGAAGCTGGATCCAATTCAATGTCTGGGGTTTTTTTATTTTAACTGTCTGATTCTGTAATGCACCAAGATAATTTTATATCAGAGACAAAGCTGATTCACGGAGGGAGAGGGAACTCACATTTATTGAATTCTTGCCAATGTCAGGCACAGCAGTAAGGGTTTTGTATGCAGGAGAAATCATCATACTCTATTCAAAAAGTTTAAAAACAGAGGCCAAGGCAATTTAAGGAAATTTCCCAAGTTACCAGAATATGCAAGGCAAAGATCGAAACCAAGTGTGTCTGGTGCCCAAGCACATGCTTAGCAAGCCACGGTAGGCATCAGAATCAACTGAGACTTTATCAGATGCACAAATCCTTGAGCCTGCAGGCCAGATATTAGGAATTACAGATTATGATTGGGACCTAAGGATCTGTGTTTTTTGTTTTTTTAGTTTTTTGGAGGAAGATTAGCCCTGAGCTAACATCTGCTGCCAATCCTGCTCTTTTTGCTGAGGAAGACTGGCCCTGAGCTAACATCTGTGCCCATCTTCCTCTGCTTTATATGTGGGATGCCTACCACAGCACGGCTTGCCAAGCAATGCCATGTCTGCACCCGGGATGCGAACAGACAAATACGGGCTGCCATAGCGGAGCACGTGAACTTAACCACTGCACCACCTGGCCGGCCCCAGCATCTGCATTTTAAAAAGAAACTCACATGGTTTCAATTCAGATAATCACTGAGAAATACTTTATTAAAGACTTTTCTACCTGCATCTGAGTAGTGAGATGTTCATAGTTCACTATTATAAAACTTCAAAATAGGGTTAATAGCCTCATTTTACAGAAGAGGCACCTGAGATCCACAGGCACCTAGAGAAACACGGCTATTTCATGGAAGCATCTCTACTTAAACTCAGGCCCCTCCAGATTCTTAACGTCAAGACACTTTTTTTTAAAGAAACATTTTTCTTTTTTAAAAACTTTTATCACTTACGCATGCATTCAGCATAAAAGGTAAAGTCATTCTACAAGTGCTGTTATGGAAAAGACCGTCCCTGACCGCCCTCCAACTTCTTTTCTTCTCACCAAGAACAGCCACTTCCAACATTGTTTATCTCCATGCTTATATAACAAAATTAAATGTCTGCTTACTACTTTTACACTTTGAAACTTTATGTAATGTGCTTTCAGTCTGGAGAATGAGGATTTTTCTTTATTTTACATCTCTTTTCCTTGCATCTACCTCCAGCTCGCTTTCCAGTCTTCCTTCTCCCTGTTATAAACATATCATCATTATTTAAGATTATTATATTTAAAATTTAAATTGTCATGACCATGTAAATCTACTGATGGCTGGGCCATTTAGTAAGCTAGGATGATTTTTATTTTTCCTTGCGTAATATTTTCCTTTCTTTGTTCATTTGATTGTAATTATCTATGCAGTTATCACTAATATATTTCCCATATTTCTGCCAACTATGAAGAGCTTTCAATGTATTTAAATGTATTGGGTATTGCGCAACCCAGAAATTTCCGACCTGTTCTCATCTGTACTGATTTATTTCTGGTTAGGTGGAACAGATGAGCTCTAGAGATTTCCTTTAGCAATTTTCCTTGCCCATTATTTGTATCCTCTGTGTTGCGGACCTCAAGCCTTCTATATCTTGTCTTAGTTCCCTATTTTGATGGGCACATCCTTCTGTAACTTCCTATGAGAGAGCGCAAAGATGGTAACATATTAAGAACTTGCTTGTCTGAAATTGTCTTTAGTCTAGCTTCCCATGTATCTGATGTTTAAGCTGTGTATAAAATTTAAAGTTCAAATTTTTCCTTTCAGAATTTCAAAGGCATTTTTCACTATCTCTTGGCTGACAATGTTTCTCACTATAAATCTAATGTCATTCTGATTCTTGATCTTTTGAACACAGCCTCTTTATTATTTTTCTTCCTAGAAGCATTTAGGCGTTTCTCTTTTCTTCCTCAATTTTAATTCAAGTGAAATTAGTCAGAAGTTAAGTAAATTTTTTTTGGAGGAATGTGTTGTTTTGGTAAGAGGGACAAAATTTAGTCTCTTAGAAATTTCAAACTCAAGCATAAAGAGGGTATTTCTTCTTTGGTGAAAGATAGCACTTACAAAAACTCCAGACACAATGCAGATGATCATGAAATGTTTCTTGTAGATGCTAAACAGATTTCCAGCAAAAGCACCAACGCAGATTAAAGGACGAAAGAACATTTTGAACAAATAGTGACTAGAAAACCTAGCTATTAGTATATAAAAATAAATGAACCTCAACCCATATCTCATTTAATCATGATATTTAATTTGAGGTAGATCATAGCACAAACTGTAAAACTAAAATTATAAAATCTCTAGGAGAAAACATATGAAAATACATTCACAATTTTGGGAGATGAGCAAACTTTCTTAGGACACAAAAATACTAACCCTAAAAAAATTATAAGTTAACCTTAAAATAAAAATATTTTGGTTAAAAGATGCCATTAAGAAAGTAACAAACTGGGAGGGGGGTTGCAATACGCACATCTGGAAAAAACCTTGTATCTAGACTATATAAAGAACTCATACGACTCAATAACAAAGATACAAACAACCCAATTTTAGTAAATACAGTCAAAAGAGAGAAAAATGGGTAGTAAGCACAGGAAAATGAGCTCAACATCTTTTTTCATAAGGGGATGCAATTTAAAACCAAAGTGAGATACTATTTCACATTTACTAAAATGGCTAAAATTTTTACATGGTTAATACTAAATATTGGTGAGATGCTAAGTAACATGAACTTGCATTGTTGGTGGGAATGCAAAATAAAACCACTTTTGGAAAAAAAGTTCAGCAATTTTTTATAATGTTAAATACACACGTACCCTATGATCTAACAAGTCCATTTGTAGACATTTACCCAAGAGTAATGGTTACACATGTCAACAAGAAGCCCCCTGCATATAAATATTCATAGCAACTTTATTATTAATAGCCCCAAACTGGAAAAAAAGTAAAATTTCCATTATTAGGCAAATCAATTAAGAAGAAGAAGAAAAAAGATGGTATATTCTTATACCTAGAATATTACTCAGCCATAAAAATGGAATAGTTGATCCAAATAATAACGTGGATAGATATTAAACAAAATTTATATTGAGCAAAAGAAGCTATCCCCCAAAGAATAATCAATGCATTTTTGTATTCGCATGAGATAATAGAAATCAGAACAGTATTTGCTGGGGCGTACACATCTGGGGTGATGGAAACAATCTATCACATAGTGGGAGGTAATGATGATTTGGGTATACACATCTGCCAAAACTTAATGAACTTCATAACTAAGATGTGTCCACTTTATTATATGAAAATTGCAACTCAATTAAAATTACTAAGCATAAAAGTTTGTGGGAATGATAAGAGCTTTCACTGAGGCTACTTCAACCAGAAAGCATAGCAGTTGGCCAGTGCCTGGCATGGGGGACCAGAGTTTTGGTATAAAAAACATGTCTGATTATAACATGACTTTCCTTTCGTATAAAATTGGAGCTATTGACCTCTTCTTATGATAGTGCTATTAGGATTAAATAATACAACATAGGCGAAAATTTTCTCCTGTGTTTCAAAGGCATTTGAATTATTTAATTTATTTTAGTTCTCTTCTTCACTTCTGTCCTGAATCTCAAGTTCACAATCCTAAGCGAATTAGTTTAGACCATTTAGATAACACATTCAATGTTTCATCCCTTTGTCGGACTGCCTTAAAGCCAGCAGCTCTCTGCCCTGTCCCCAAGGCTCTCCCCTGCATTTTTTAATTCTCTGGTGTCAAAGGCAATTCTCAAGTGAAATAAACCCTCATGTTGCCCTACCTGAACTTCTGGGAGCCATAAGGAGAAGAATAAAGAGCGGAAGAGAGAGTATAAACCAGCATTAAATGCCAGGGGCGTTGGCTGCCTCTCTCCCAGTGGCCACATCTGTGCCAGGGGACTCTGCTCCTCAACTGCTGACTGACCCAGAGCAGAGCCAACTGTCCCCAGTTGGATCGCTCTGTCTCTTGGGAATGTCACGTGAGAACAGAGAGACACTGGAGATGAATCACATTAATGACACCAACCTGCTGGGAGAGACCGCCCAGTTCTGTACCAGTGTCTAGAGAGCCCTTCCTGAGTCTCAGATCTAAAACTCATCGTCTGATTCCTTGCACTACCTCCCCCAACATGTGAGTTCGGTGACTTTCGACCTAAAGAACCAGAACTATGATAAATCCAAAAGTCTCCTCTTCATTTCTCAAAATCTTTGTTCCTTCTGGATCTTCTACATTCAAAATCTGTTTACTTCCCGTCTTTTCCCACTTACTTCTAACACCCAGAGAAAGGAATCAGACAATACCTTTCAGACCCTCCTGGCGGGATGCAGTCTCTCAGCCGTGCAACTCGCTGGAGGTCCTCCGCATCCGACGATGTTACTCAACGCACCCTCCCCAATCTTCCTGAGGCTATTAAATTGACATGAGAATGTGGGAGACTCTGGGGCCAAAACCCTATGAATATTTGACGAATAGCTCTCTTTTCATGTCCTGTTTGAAGAATATTTTTCTTTTTATGTTCTTTCCTTCCTTCTAATTAGTTTATTTTCTGTGGAGTGCTGGAAAGCAAAGTCATTCTGTTAACATATATTAAAATGTGTCCCTGATGTTTGAAGAATTATTTTCAATAACATCTGTAATTTTCTGTCGTTCTGGGTAGTGTGGTGGAAAAATTCAAATAAGAAAAATTCAAGTTAATGTCTTTTGGAGTTTTTTACAGACTTTTGGTATATGTAAATCTGGATTCAGTAAATATTTATTAGGCTCTTTTGTGTGCAGAGCATTGTGTAATGTTAATACTAGCTCACTGTTACTCCTAGTAATAACAATAATAGTAATGGCTGCTATTATTTAAATGAGTAGTCAGTATACTAATTCTATTATTTTATTTAATCCTTACAGCAATTCCAAAAGGTGGATATTATCATAAAATCCATTTTTTAAGAAGAGAAGCAGCTTTAGACAAAGGAAGTAACTTAAGTTCATACAGTACATGGTAGAAACAGACTTTGAGCCCGGTTTTAATTGACTCCAGTTTTGTTTTTAACTCCTGTGGCAGATGCTGTAGGTGCTCCCCCTACATCTCCTCACCCTGATGGATTTCTAACTCCCAGCCCCTGATTTCTTTTCTCAAAGGCCTGATTTCACTTTGCCCATAATGTGGCTGACTAGGAACACTGGAGAATTCGTGCCCACTCCCCCTGCAGTCTCCAACAAAGATGACAAAAGTTTGTGTAGAAATACCCCAGCTCACTAACCCCTCAGGTGGGCTAACTCCTGGGAGCATGTTCTTCATTGTTCTAGAATTCTCTAGCAGTCCACAGTGATAGCAAACCCTTATTGCCTGCTCTGTTTTCCAGGTTCCCTCCTGTAGTCCTCTACTTGTGTTTTCTACTTGCACCTGTATCCTTGTTGACAAGTCTGTTTCTGGGTGAACCCAAACTAAAATGACTTCTGCTCTGAACTCTGTTGGAGGACCAGGATTTACTCCTAGAAAGACAACTGTGAACCCACTGAGAAAAGTGAGTTCCTCTGTTTTGGAGAATTCTGATGAGAACACAATCCGGAAGCTATCTTCAGTTTTGTACATAACACAACAGATGACTTATGCACAGGAAAACATAAACTAGAACCAGGAGCTAAAATCCAAACATTGAAGACAAGACAGCAGAAAATGAGAGGCAGGACAGGGATCAGGGATATATTCCATGGAAAGGAGAGACTTGAAGGGTACTGTGAAGACAAGAAAGAAGACATTACAGAACCAGGAGACCTGAGAACGAGCACAGAACAGAACAGAGACAAGCATCATCAGCATAGCCAGTCATTCATAGATGAGTACATTTAATAGCATACATTCACTCATTAACACTGAAATGCATCAGGTTTGTAAAATAGATATCTTCTGTGTTTGCCACAGAGCTCTGAAAATGTCACATAAACTGAGTTACAAGCCAACAGTATGGGCCACAGAATTTGAATCGTGAGCTATGATAAATTATCTGATTTTGGTAACCCTATTAGGTAAATATTTATTATTCCTTCCTTCAACGAGGAAAAGCAAACCTCCTAGAAACAGAGGTAGAAGTTACACAACTCGTGTATAAAGCCAATGTCATTGGATGTGACATTGAACCATGTTGAAGAAAACCATTATTTTGAGCTACATGCCAAGCATGGGGGTGAGCTCTACAGTTTGAATTGTATGCCATTCAATCCTGCAGCAATTGTTACTAGGGTCCTATCATTCCCATTTTGCAGATGAAGAAACTGAGGCCCAGGTGATTAAGTTATTTACAGAGCTGATGAGTAAGGTGTAGGGGAGGAAGACATTTCCTCTCCCCAAATGGGGGTTCGTCTGGCCGGAGAATGAATTAAATTCACATGAGACAGAATAGCAAGAGAAAATTAAACAAAGCTTTATGAGGAGCCATGGCCCGGGGCCTTTCTTCCTGAAGGAAGAAAGGGCACCGAAGAAGTGGGGTGCACGTAGTGGTTATATACCCCCAAACAGGGTGTTTCACATGTGATTGAAATGTCCCTCCCACAATAGTCACAAGATTGCCCTGTCAGCACAGCGCTTGATGGACACAGCAGGTAATGGTCTGCTGTCTCGGAGGGTGTAGCCTGAGGCAAGTCAATTGTCTGGAGCTGGGCGGTCACAGGTGAGCGCAGCAATCAGTTCCTAGCCTAAGGAAAGATGCTTAATCCTTAAAGAAATGCCAAAATTGGGAGGGGGAGGGAAGTCAGTTACAGGAGGTTACCAGACTAGCACAATAAAATGCAGATTTAAGTCCTTGCCTTTGGTATTGATAAAGAGTTTTTAGAGAGAAGGTCATCTCCTTTCTTCTTCCTGGTACAGAGAGGGAGGCAGCTTTTACAGATAGAGATTTACCTTACAAATGTAAACGTGTCCTAAGGAAGGGCAAGTTCCGTTCCTCAGAGCCTCCTTCCCTGTCCCAGTTTATCAAAAGCAATCAGCCTCAAATAATCCTGATGCCAAAGAGACATATTTTGGGGTGGCCAATTCCAGGTCCCCACAAAGGCATGCCCAAGAGTGAGAGAAGGAGTGAGAACTCAGAGTCAGTTTAGCTCCTTGGCCCCTTCATTTTCACAGCTCATGTGATTTTGCATGGAACTTTGAAGCAAAACAATTCCCCTTCTTCTCCTAGGATAGAAGTTCCCGTCTCCTTGATCAAGCGCTTTCTCCAGACTTATCCCATCCCAGCAAGCCTGTGTGGACACTTGGTTTGTAGATTCTGCCAAGGAAGGACCTTTAGGGCAGGGCCTCCGATCATCTAGAAGTTGGAGTCCATCTGTCAAAGACCAGGGTCTTCTGCTGTCACTTACATCGACTTCCCTATTGTCTTCCTGAGCACTCTGTTTTGAGATCTTAGGGCTCCAAGTTCTGTCTAATACAGTTGGGCAGTGGGCCAGGAAGAGACTCTGACCCCTCATTGTCTATGGGAGGCTCTGAATTCTGCCAGAGCTCAATAAAGGTAAAACATCTACAATGTGCTCGCTGTGATCACTCAATAAAGAGCTATTCGTAGGCTGAATAAGAGCCCCTCCAAAGATGTCCACAGCCTGATCTCCAGGACCTGTGAGTACATTACCTTACAAAGTGAAAGGGACTTTGCAGATGTAAATGAGCTAAGGATCTTGAGACGGGGAGATTATCCTGTATTATCCAGGTTGACTTGATGTAATCGTAAGGGTCTTTATAAGGGAGATGCAGGAGGGTCAAAGTCAAGAAAAAAAGGATATGATGATAGAAGCAGAGGTAAACGATGGGCTTTGAAAATGGAGGAAAGGACCATCAACCAAGAAATGAAAGTGGCTTCTAGAAGCTGGAAAAGTCAAGGAAACAGATTTTCCGTTACAGACTCCAGGAGGAGTGCAACCCTGCTGACCCATTCTGGACTGGAAGATAATAAGTGGGTGCTGATTCAGTCCACCCAGTTTGTGGTCATTCGCTACAGCAGCAACAGGAAATGAATGCATTAGCTCATAATGTCATCTGCACACAGTCTCAAGTCAACGATATGTGTCAGTACTGGGTCCAGAAGCAGAATGCTAAGTGCCAAGAGTCAGGGCTTTAAGGTGAGATGTCCTGAATTTGAATCTTGGCATGGCCATTTACTGGCTCCATGATCTTGGATGTGTTAGTTACATTCTATGCATCCTAAATTCCTCATTTGTGGCTTGGGGATCACACCAGTTGTCTCCTAGTTTTATTGTGATTGTATAATATATCAAAAAATCTTAGAGCAGGGCATTTGCATTATGCATTTGCTTTATTCTCGTTTCATTTTTTCCCCTTCTGTCAGTCAGTAAGAAGCATATTTTTCTGTATTCCTTTATGGAGGCACCAGAATTTTTGCTGAAATTCTCAATGGCATGATCCCTTTGTTGGTTATGACTGAAAAAGCTCTTAGTCTAGCATTTCGTAAAGATAAGAAGGTTAGTTGAGAAAAATCATACCTATATGATGAATTGAATCGTTTGTAAATTTTCTCCTGTAAGTATGATCTGACAAATGTACACAATCACCAGCTTCTCCTTTCTCAGTTCCCGATGCTCTGCGTCTGTATCATCTCCAACCTCACGAGTCCATCTTGGGACTGCTGGTTACTCTATTTCTGGTATCTTAACTGAGGCCATGGTCATAGAATTCTCCAACTGCCAAGTTGCAGGGGCTCACAGTTCCACCCTCACTGCCTTTGTGCAGTGGTGTTTCTATGTGCTTCGTGAAAATCCACGCATGTGGAACTTGTAGAATTTTCCCATTTCCCGTGTACTGTCCTCCCCCTGTGACTACTCCCGTGGTCTCTGCTCCCTTCTTCTGTGGGAGGAACTTCATTTGCAGCCTCAGTAACAGGAGAGAAAAATGATACCTTTTGGGATAAGCCACATATTCAAGACTCTGTTCAGTTCTCAGAAGCACTTTTCCTGCTACAGTTTCCTGTCCCCGGTATCACTGCCCCAGAGCTCAGTTGAATTGCTTTCTGTCTGAGGCTCCCCTGATAAGGCCATTCAGGTTCCCTAGATGTGAATCTCAAAATAGGTCGCTCTCTCATACCTGCAAGAAGATTCAGCCTCTGGCATTTAGCTTTGATTCATCTGACAAACATGCACTGATACTCCCCAGTGCAGAGGAGCCCTGAGCAAAGGGCTGAGGGCAGGTCAGAGCATTAGCACTGTTACCTCCTTCCAGGATGTTCCTTCCCATCTGCAGGGCCAGGACAGGAGAACAAATGCAGGCCCACATCCCGTATGTCTAAATACTTAAAAGTTAGAAAGCAAAGAATAAACTATTTAAATATTTTATATTCCCTACCTATTTCTTGCATATCTTCAGTACCAGGGATTAGAACAAGATGGACTCTCATTAAGTATCGCAAAATTTTCCCTTATTATGTAATAATTTACTGCATTCATGCCATCTGAAAGGAAAGATGTGATAAAGTAATTAATCTGTCTTTTCTTAACACTTCCTCTGCTGAACTCCTCCTCAGATTCTGAAGCAGCATCCATGTTCAAAGTCAGACATTGGCATAACCCACAACCTTCAAGTCACTTGGATGCAGTCATCTCTTCTTCAAGGTTGGAAGGCATGAGCCATGGGGAGCATTTCCCTGGGGCCTGAATAGTATGAATCCTGAGAGAGGCTGTCTGTGGCTAAGAGTTGCACTGTGTCAGCATGAAGCTCTGCACTGCAAGGAAAAGAGGCATCTTTGTTTCCTTTAACATATTTGTGTGTATGTGTTTGTGTGTGTGTTTGTGCTTTAAGGGATCCTCTAAAGCACAAAGCATGGAGGTCTGCGCAAAAACCCCTCCTTGCTAAGGTTTGAAGACTACACTTTTCCAGGTTTTTATAATCTAGTTGAACAAAGAAGAATTAGGAATATAGAACCATTATGAAGCAGCACAAGACAGCACAAGACACGGCACGACTTAGTTAACAAGTAGTGGCAAGGACAATAGCTTTTTAAAAAAAAAAAAGCCACAACTAGAAAGACCCACAACTAAAATATACAACTATGTACTGGGGGGATTTGGGGAGAAAAAGCAGAAAAACAAAACAAAACAAAGCAAAAAACCAATAGCTTTTTCAAGAGTGTGGAGTTGCAAGTGTGGTTCGCTCAGGAAAGACCAAATTTTGCCCTTGGAAAAAAATAGCTTGAATTGGGGAAACAGAGCATAAAAATTACAGTGCCTAAGGTTCCAATAAAAACATCACGTCATATTTTCTGTTTTTGTTATCACATGGGATGAGAGTCCATATCAGAATTGTGACATTACTCACCATTATAGAGTTTGTTAATACACAGTCATGAGAGTGCTGCCAGCTGGACATGGGGAAGAGGAAGCTGGTATGAAAACAAGCGACACAGTGGCCCAGGAAGGGGAGAGATGGTGCTGGAGCAAGCTCAAAGAGGCGAGAACAAATCTAACACAGTATTGGGTAAACATTGAGAGGTTAAGAGAGAACAAATCCAAAAATCCACAGGCAAGCATCCAACACTCAATTCTGAGGTCATAGGAGCCTGAGACAGGGCAGAAACCTTCAGAAATCATCCACAAATAAAGTGGAAAAATATGAGATGGTACAAGATAGTGTGTATGAAAGCGGTTAAACATATCCAGGTCCTTGCATCAAAGAATTTCACTCTTACCTGAAGAGCAGATAGGAGAGACGAGTTTAAAGATAAAAGTTTTCTGTAGCTACTGGGACCTCTCTCCTGAGTTCTACACACTAAGAGTGAGACAAGAATGAGTAAGATACATGGAGATGCAAAGATCTCTTTTAATACTGACAAAGCTGAAATGGAGGAAAGCGACATATATTAATTGGCAAGTGGGCTTCCTGCTATTGATCTTCTTTGTTAGACTGATTCATCCACCTGGCATAGGCAGCGTCAAATACCCCAGTCCTGCCAACTTTGGGACCACTCGGGTAAGGATTATGATGTGGAGAAGCAGAATCAGTCATGTGGTCCCTGTGAGCTCTTTACCAGACAGCAAAAGGAACCAACTTACACGTATTAGTTCTTCTGTGGCTGTCGTAATAATCTTGGTGACTTAAAACCACAGAATCTATTCTCTCATACTTCTGGAGGCCAGAAGCCCCAGATCAGGGTATCAGCAGGGCCACACTCCCTCTGAGGGCTCCAGGGAGAATCCTTTCCTGCCTCTTCCAACTTCTAGTGGCTGCTGACATTCCTTGGCTTGTGGCAGCATCACTCTGCTCTCCGTCTCCATCTTCACATGGGGCTTCACATCACCTTCTTCCTTGTGTCTCTGTCAAATATCTTCCTGCTTTTCTCTTGAAAGACACCTGTGGTTGGATTTAGGGCCCACCTGAAATCCAGGATGATCTCATCGCAAGAGCTTTAAATTAATTACATCAGTAAAAGCCTTTATGCTGAATAAGATCACACTCACAGGTTTCTGGGATTAGGATTTGAACATGTCTTTTTGGGGGTGCATTGTACAACCCACAACAATGCACATACCAATATTTGCTTCCGAACTACCACCAAGGAAGGTACACCCTCTTCCCCTGAAGAATAGGGGAAGGGGGGAGGATGTGAAGGAGGCCATGGTTTAACTACAGGGGTCCATCCACTAGAAAACCAACATCGGAAGTGGGGATAAGTTTCTTCCTAGTGGTACTAAGAACAACAGCTTAATGGGCCGGGTACTATCATTGGCCATTTGCAGGTGTTAACTCATTTAATCCTCCCAGCTACCCTATGAAGAAAGGGCTTTTGTTATCTCCCTTGCAGAGATGGGGAAGCTGAAGCACAGGATGTTAAACAACTTGCTCAAGGTCGTGCACAAGCAAATGGTTTAGCTGGGAACAAATATAGGAGGGTTGGCTGCACAGGTCACTCTTAGCCCATATGTCATTGGTGCACTTGCCACCTATACCAGAATGAGACCCAACATTACAATACAAACTGCACTGGAACAGCTATGATCATCAAAGCATTGAACTAAACGTACAACAGTGGAGAAATGGTTGAGTAAACTATTGTCTTTTCATCTGATAGGATATTCTGCAACAACTTTAAAATAATATTTTTGAAGATATTTAATGGTAAAATATTTATGAAACAATGTTAAGAGAAAATATCAGAATATATATAATTCAAAAGTATCAGATCTTATATCTACAAATAAATATATTCATAGAAAAATAAGACAGAAAAAGAATATTAACAAGTAATACTGGTTGTCTCTGGGTTGGAAATTTTGTTTCTTCTATCATGTCTTCTGTGTTTTTCAGATTATGTACAATAAACATATACTGCTTTTATGGTAAGGTAAAACCAAGACTGCTATTAATTTGGGCCCAAAATTTAAGAATTTGAATTGTTTTCAGGAACCAGAAGGTAAAAAGCAAAAACAAAACAGTAGAAAAATCCCCATCCATGGGCCTGTGGAGGAGCAGAAGGAGGAGAAATGTTCGGTTCTGAAGGATCTTTGTTGGAAGGAGAAAGAAAAGGGCTTTTGGGGTGGTCCTGTGTGTGGGGTGACAGAGACGACGGAATATCCCACAAACCACACAGAAGCCTCACAAGCCGCCCAGTAATGAGAGTGTCTGTTTTCTGTCTGAAACTTGTAGCAGGCTTCAGAGAGGCCAGGAAGATGGCTCAGCGTTTTGTGGGATGACAGTCCAAGCTTAATTTTGTTCATGAAGTTTTCACGTCTTCCAAGTGAGACGTTGGATTAAGCCAGGTACCGACCTCTGCAGCTCCAGAGCCCCGCTGGGAGCATTTACATCAGGCCCCTTGGAAGAGCATGATTCTTCATGCCCAGCCCTGAGGAGGTCACCTCCAGATCATGCAGCAGGCTTCCCTACCTACAAGGCTGAGTCTAGGGCAGTTTCCACTCCAAAGGACATTGCTAATGTGCTCATAAAGGGCAGGACCTCACTCCGGCTTAAGTAAGGAAAAGGAAGCTGTGAAGATGCACAAGGACCAGGACCAGTCCAGTATCTAGAAGGCCAAGAAGGCTTTAGGAGCCAAGGCTGTGCCAAGGACCTGCATGGTTTCATCCACCTTCTTGGGGTGACTCCACATGTCACATCTGCTCCAACTTCCTCTTGCCACCAGCTGGCTTTGTTAGCTTCTCTATTTTGTAGACTACTCATAACTTTGGTTCACTCGAGACCCAGCCTGTCCTCTCTAGACTCTCACTCTGCTATAGCTTTGACCAGCTTCTTTTGTTGCAAAAGCTGCTTTGGCTCAGAATTTCTGTTTGAATTGCAGAGAAAAAAAGGGTTTGATTGGCTAAACCTGACTTTTCACTTAAATGCAAGACAAGAGGGCACTGGCTGACCCATGGATTGGCTGCCCTGGTCAATCAGCCATGTCTCTTGGCATTGCTCACTTCTTCTGGTCCTGTGGATGGTCAATTTCCTTTCAAAGGGGCTGCTGGCATAGCAGGCACTATGATCAATGTCTCTTCTATACAGTTTCTGCAGGAAAGAGGACCACTTTCCTTAAGACATAGCATTTATATGGTAGGTGCTTAGAAATAAGTGGATTCTTCGGTCAGCAATCCAAAATGAATCTTTTGACCAAAAGGAAAGGAAAGAGCAACCTGTCATTGATGGAAAGTTTATTTCAAAGTATGAGAAAAGAGATCGGATAAGTCCGGGAAAGAACTCAGTATTCTTTCCTTTAGGTTATAGCAAAAAGAGAAATGGGGAGGTTTTTAACATTGATATAACCCTTTCAAGGACTGAACGTTTATTTTCATGATGTGTAGGAAGCATAGTTTTTACTCTGGTAAGTGATTTTGAAGTGTTGTCTTGAGGGCACCTCTAAAGAAAATTTACCTTGACCTTATGTTAGTTTGGTGTATCTCTCCACTGATTATCAAGTCGTGGCTCCAGAAATTTCAGACAGAGTTGGCCTAATTGGGGACAATGCACATGAAAATGAATTGCACAGCTGGGACCATCAAAACTGTCTGGGCTAATTAACAGGAAGTAGCTTTGAACTTTTGCTCTGTTGGGCTTCTTGGTAGTTACTAAGTGATTGGATCAAGTCCAAAAGCAGCTAGAAGGACCCAAGAGTTTGAGGACATATTTCCCAGGTGTGTGTACTATGACGAGTGGGAGGATGGAGGCTCCAGACACAGAGGACTTTTGGTTTTCTTTTTTTTCAACTTTAGCTCACATAAATGCCTAGGGGATGAGTGGGCCCATTTAGCTCAGTGAAGATCATGTGGATTAGACATTCTTGGCTTCAGCTGAAGTCAGTTAAGAAGGATTTGATAAAAGATTATGCATGATTTGAAGGTGTAAAGGCTTTTGTTTTCATCTCCTCCTCTTTTCAATTTCCTGACTCCCTTTTTATTCTAGGCCTGGATTCTAACCCTGGTTATGCCACTTACTGGCTGTCACTCAACTTCTGTAATCTTCATCTTTTATCACCTATAAAATGGGTCCATTCATGCCTACCTTTTCTATTTTTTATTGTATATTTCAAACGACATTGTAAACTTCTCAATATCTTATTTTTCTAGTTGTTCCAGTTATCCACTGTTGTGTAAAAAAAATGCTCCAAAACTCTGTTGTTGAGACACCAATTTATTATGACCCCCATGGTTCTGTGGACCACTGGGCTCAGCTGAACAGTTCTTGTTGGAATTCTCACATGGGGTCCCAAACAGATGGCAGCTGGGCCTGCAGTCTGACATTTGAGTCGACACACCTGGGGGCTGGTCAAGTTTCTCTCCTTCTACGAGGCCTCTCCACACGCCCAGCTTCAGCTTCTTCACAGCATGGAGGTGTCAGAGTAGTCAGACTTCTAACATGGCAGCTGGCTTCTCCCAGAGCTACTGTTTTAAGAGATGCAGGAAGGTGTTGCAAGACTTCTTAAGTCATAGCCTCAGAAGTCCCCAAATATCACTTCTACCATGTACTTTGACTAAGTAAGTCACAAAGGTACACCCAGAACAGAAGGGTGAAAGTT